CAAACCACTAAAAATACATGTACAAGCAAACCTACTAAAGAAAGTGTGCCCTCTAAAACACCAATACAATAGTAAAACAAAACAAACAAGTAGGAATGCAAAAAGAGTGACGTAATCACTTCTAAGGTGTAAATGAAAATATACAACCTTATAATGTATCAGCGTGGTGGACAATATCTATAAAAAGATATATAAATCGCACATAGAATAATAAAAGTATAAATGTATAGACACGCAAGATGTATATATTGAACTCCCAAAATATAAGTGAATATCAGGCCCATCATACTTAATCAGAAGTGGTCTTCCAAGTTATATGGAGAAAATCTTCTTTAGCACTTGTAAAATAAAGAAACCAAGAAATAGTGCAGATGGCATTAAAACTACAAAGAATTTATTACAAAATGCACTTACAAAGGTCCAGGTAAAAAACAGCATATAATCCACTATAAGGTGGAGATAAAAGTACTTTGGGGCCTGATGGGCCTGATATTCACTTATATTTTGTGAGTTCAATATATACATCTTGCAAGTCTATACATTTATACTTTTATTATTCTATGTGCGATTTATATAACTTTTTATAGATATTGTCCACCACGCTGTTACATTATAAGGTTGTATATTTTCATTTACACATTAGAAGTGATTACTTCACTCTTTTTGCATTTTACTACAGTTTGGATTTGCACCTTGGTATTTACAACAACCTTAAATGCAACACGATATCTATCTATTTATCTATTTGTTTTTATTTTTCTAAGCACAAATATCAGACACATAATCTCAGATTAAAGATAATTTGTAGGTAGATAGTTACGTGCCAATGCCTAATTTTGACCTTTTTATGCATTTCTGTCAGCACAGTGTAGTAGTAAAGATTGGTGCATTGGTGTTATTCTTGTTGTAGTATGACCTAATTCTCCTTGTTACAATAAAAAAAATATATATATTTTGTAAAGTTGGGAGGTTACCCCAAAAATGTATTCTTGTTGCAACTTGAGTACCTTTTTTTTTTTTTTTTTTTTAACCAACAATTTGAATTATAGAAAGACAGGTATAATGGGAAATCTGTTTAAGTCAAGTTTTTTATATATATATATATATAATATAAAATTATAATTGCATTGATTTGTTAGTGATATCACTAAATCCCACGTTTCTTCTTTCTAGGATCTGCAAATTGAACGTGAAAAAAGCAGTTATAATATATCTGGAGGCTGCACCGCACTTATTGTGATTTATTTATTGGGGAAACTCTACGTAGCCAATGCTGGTGATAGTAGGTGAGCTAACAATAATACTTATTCTTTACAATGTGAATGTTTAATTAAGACTCAAAATATCCACTCAACATCTCCTGCCATTTGCGACTGAATTCTGAGCCATGCGGCAGAGAATGTAGTAGGAGCCATAGTGCCCACAGAATCCAAGCCTCAGTTAACCACAGTCACATGGGGTTGTTCTTTTGCTGATAGGCATGGTGTCCGGAGTGGCTGCTAAATGCATCAAGCAGTGTATGGAACAGACCATTGTTAGGAGCAGGGCCACAGTATGTAACTGGCCCAACATCCGATCACTCTCACAGACTGTGGCTTACTGTTGTTATAAAAAATGTCAAGATTCTTTTGTTTTGTTCATTGTATATGGCTATAAAGCAAAATGGAAATTGCATCAAAAAAGATGGAAAAAAAACTTTTAGTAAAAGGTTATTTACACATTGTAAATAACCTTTTACTAAAAGTTTTTTCTCCATCTTTTTTGATGCAATTTCCATTTTGCTATTACTATTACTGAAAAGCAGCCCAACATAAGAATTACAATTTGTGGAAAATTATAGATGCTCCACATTAAATGCATAGCTGCTAGAGACAAGTGACACTGTACAGAGTCAAAACATATTTTTTGGGGGAGGGGGGGGGAGGATTGTAGCAAGACTGCCGCTAGTCTGTGGAGCTCAGTCAACTCAGCACATAAAGACTTGATTTCAAGGTTTCTTGGACCTCAAGGAACTCTTCACTGCATCTGATAACTACCCTATTCATAACATGGAAGATCTGGAATAAAAGGAACCACCCAAGCCCCAACAGCCGACTGTGGGAACATCTCCCCCAGTTACCACAGCAATACTCACTAGTCTCCTGGCGGATCTCCTTCAAAATCTACCCGCAAGTAAAAAAAATATCAGTCAGGGCGCTCGCTGTGCACCTGGATGCAGTGGCACAAACCACAACCACTGAAGTCCTAGAACTACAGAAGCAGGTCAGTGATCTAACCTCAGTCCAAGGCCACCAACTGGCGGCATTGGAAGACAAAAGACAGTGGAAACACTTAAATATCAGAGGCCTCTCAGACAGAGTCATGCAGAACTGCTACATTTTCTCTGCAGGCTGTTTATTACCCTATTGCCCCCAAAGCAGTTGAAAGGCATAATGCTAGACAGAATCTGCTGGCTAAGGCTTCAGCCAGTGATCTGTTAATCAAATACCAGATTGGTCAAAATAAAGTAGCATTCATAAATGCGACCAGGGTGAAGACCCTGCACTGTTTTGAAGAAGTATAACTTTTTCCCAGACCTTTCCCACACAACTTTGCAGTGGAGGAACTCTCTCCAACCCCTAAAGTTTACTCTGTCTACTAATGACACTAGGGCTCGCCTCGCTTGCATCTTATTCAGCACCAGAATACAGAGCACCGGGTATCCGATGCATCAGAGATGAATGCTATCCTGACTACACTAAGCTTGGGCTGCACCTTTCCATGTGCAATCACAGCTAGGGACACTGCTAATGTAGTCCTGTTTGTTCTGGCAGCCACAGGTGCAACCAATGTGCTGGTTACCTGACTTTCATGAATTTTATTATATTTTCCCTTTTTTTTCCCTGTCGGACTTGTCCTACACTTTTACTTTATTTAATGTTTCCCAATTGCTTTACTGACCACATTCATGGTAAAGACCGTGATTTTGAGACCTAACTTGGCTAGAACCAGGAATGTCCCAACTATATTAACTCCTGTGTTACCATCCACCCCCCTACCTCCAGCCACGTAATTCTCCATTTCAATCTAGTGTGGAGCTCAGGAATGTTACCTTTATTATTGATTCCATGCTATTGTCCATACTAATGTCTAAACTGCTATATTGATTGATATGTTCATCTCACATCTATAAGCACATTAGCCTTCGAGGCTGACTTATGATGCCCTAATGAAGCTGCAGAAGTGGAGTTATACCTCCGAAGCAAATGGCTTTAACGTGGTATGTCCAGCTTTTCATAGTGAAATGCTACACATACAGATTCCAAACACCATTAATTCTTAGAATCACTAAACTGGTCATGGTGCTTGGAGTAACCCGTTAATTCTAAATGTGATCTCATGGTTACTTACACTTTCTCAAGTGTACCTTTCACCCCACTTTTAAATGCTCTGAGTGTAAAGTGTGGATCTCTTCTGGTCAGTTGGATTGACTGTCTGAAGGCAGTGCATGTTCTAATTTTGTCCTCACTTTTGTTAGGTGGATTGAGTAGTTAGAGAACAAGCGCCTTCTGATGGCACTCTGTATAATGTTTTATGGGGATATATGGTTTCTGTAGTAATAATACTATTGAGAAATGGCTGAACATTTATCAGAACCTTTGGTTGCCTCAGAGCTATTTTTCACTCAGACTTGATGCTTAGTGATGTCAAACTTAATTCAAGGGTAATCACTTCTCAGTGTTGCTCTGAAGTGAGGTTATGTCTCAAAATATTGAGTTGACAATAACATGCAAAATTTAGGTTATAATAGCCAATTTGGATATTTTCATCAACTTGGTTGTGAATGTTGGTTTGCTTACTGTGGAAATCCCCATGTGTAGCATCTCTTAGAGGGTTTTTATATTATTTGAAGTTAAATAGTTGGCTTATTTAAAGGACGATTAGAAATCTGCGTGATAAGTATTTTATTTGTAAGCTGAACTTTAGAGGATTAATTAATAAACTTTCTATTTTAATTTATGTTTTAAATCACATATCAGTGTAATTAGACATCAATGTATGTTGTCATTTTTTGAATTTTTTTTTAAACACTTTAATAATAATAATAACAGTTATGACATTTTGCTTGTTTTACATGCTTCTCAGTGTAGCTTTGACAGTGATCATGGTGTCCTCATAGTCTTTCTGTCAGATTTGTTGTGGCATAACGCTCCTTACAGGATTATTACGTATCATAAGGATTACAATGTTGAGAAAAAACATTCAAAGAAACAGAGAAAAGTAAATATAAAAATATATATAAAAGGCTCATTTATTCTATGAGGGTAAGTTGCTTTTACTCTCAAGTGAGGTGGTAGGCTCTCCCCTGGGTGTAGGTACATGTGTGGTTGGGCAGCGTTTACGCCCCTCGAGTAGACTCCTCGTATTATGACTCCTCGTTATTTAATCTGCATTTCTTTGGAATATTGGCTAAAGACATTCTAGGCTGATTCAATTAGTATTTCAATGCTTATTTATATATTCCACCAGAGGGACCCAAAGAGGTTAGTATATTTCTTTTTTTTTTTTTTTTTACAAAAAAATACAGCAAACAAACCTTGTATTTAAAAACAAATAGGATATTCTCTTGTCCAGTAGGTTTACTCTGCACAGTCCAAATTTGTAGCTGAAAATTAATTCCAGAATTCCTAGTTCAATAAATACCATTTGGCAACATAAACACAATATAGAATAAAACCAAATACATTTGTAAAAAAATATTGTATATACACAGGAAGCACCTATAACCATATTGGGTACCTTTCTCTCGTCCTGTGTGTGAGAGCCAGAATCAGTAGAGAAGAGTTAACCAAGTGGGTCCATCATAATCTGCACATTATTTCTTCACTTTGTGTGTGGTGACTAGTGATGTCCCAAACGGTTCGCAGAACTGTTCGCCACGGATGGTGAACATATGCGCTGTTCGGTCCGCCCCCAATTCGTCATCATTGAGTAAACTTTGACCCTGTACCTCACAGTCAGCAGACACATTCCAGCCAATCAGCAGCAGACCCTCCCTCCCAGACCCTCCCACCTCCTGGACAGCTCACTCAGCTTCACAATGAATGTAAAATGGATGCTGTCCAGGAGGTGGGAGGGTCTGGGAGGGAGGGTCTGCTGCTGATTGGCTGGAATGTGTCTGCTGACTTTGAGGTACAGGGTCAAAGTTTACTCAATGATGACATAGGGGCGGACCGAACAGCGCATATGTTAGCCGTCTGCGGCGAACCGTTCCACGAACCGTTTGTGACATCACTAGTGGTGACACATATAAGAAGGTCCACAGGCCTTGTTTGGTTATTATGTATCGCAATTCTCCCCACAAAGAGGGAAACCCAAAAGAAGTATGGTAACTAAGAAGGAAGATGAACACATGACTAGATGGTTATTTTAACCCTTATGAGTATGTTGGGTTTTTTTTATGAATCATACCCTATTGAGCAATATTCTTTAAGGTCTCCCCCCCTCTCGATAGCTATAAAAATTGTTTTAAAATAAGTCTTATTCCAGGGCCCTGCTTGCCCTCGTGATGTCATAATGATTGGTCCAATTAAAGGCTTCTTATTGAGAATCTTTTGATTGGACCGTTTAGCCAGCTCAGAATGCATGTGGAAGGGATAGAGAGGTGGGATAGCTGCAGGGAGAGAGGGGACACATCAGATTCCCCTTGCTGGCTCTGGAGAATCACCTTACATCTGCCGCCAGCATGGTGCATGCGCTGAAGGCCGACATTGAATATACACCGAATTTACATTAGCCATCTTGGAACTTTGTGACAATGTCACGTATTCCGGGGGTGCAACTAGCCCCAAGCACAAGAGGGCTAATTACTCTGGTTGTGCAGTGTTTAAAGCTGAAACACTGCATAGCTAAATTTCTTCCACCATGACCACTGCAAAAAGAAGAATTGGTCATAAACATTGGAGGAACCCTTTAATGTTTTAATAAAACAACAAAAGTAATTGCAACTGGCTGTGGATAGACTTGATCCAGTCTAAATAAATAATATATAGCAGAGTCTGATCAGACTAAACTATAGTGTAGATGAGTAAGCATTAGACCGAACGGACATTCCTGTTAACATTCTCTGATGTTTGCCTCATTAAATATTCTTGACTAGCTTGAATGCTACAGTTTAGTACAGTAGTCTGCAGCTATAGGAAAGTATGAGTTATGTATTTAAAGAACATTTTGTTGAGACTCTTAGTTGCTACATGAAATATGCTAAGGGTCTAAAAGAAATGTAAGGTGTATATATACTGTTCAAGATGGTAATCCACAAGAGAGATCTAGAGAAATTGATTTCCAGTTTTTTACTCAGCTGTGTCTACATGCTGTACGAGATAAATGTCATCTGCATACTTTAGCAATATAAAAAGGATTGCTCCTATAAAGTATAAGCATGCCGTACTAGGGAAACATAATCCACATGTATATTTAGAGAAATGAGATTTGTGATAGACATACATGTATAGCTACAGCATGCAAACACCATATTCCTGAAAAGGATTCCTACTTGTCATGTTAAATTTAGTGTGAGGTCTATGTATGTGTATATATGAGTATATATATATATATAAATATATATTTATTTGTGGTCAGGACAAAAGCATTGCTAATGCAAAGTCAGTTGTGGTGTGCCAAAATCGACATTCCTACTTGTCACGTGTTAATTATAGCAAGTGTGAGGTGTACAGCTGTAATCAAAAGGATTCGATAGCCATTGAAAATCAGGTGTATTGTCAAAATGTAGAGACTTTCAGCTGTTTGCAATGAACAAATCAAACAAAAACAATTGAAATTGCTCAACACAACGAATACTTCAAGTGGTTTACCCAAATTCAACTGAAAATGTAACTTATAATGACTTCTCCAGTCTCAAAATTATTCAACCCCCTGAAAAGAATCCTTCACAACAGCACAAATATGCAAAACAGGTGTTGTCTCATGCACACCTGACACAACTAAACAGGGGCTTCATAAGTTGCACCAGGTGTGCTTGAGCTGAAACACTTGAAATACTTGAACTGACTAGGGGCTTGTTGAGTGTCACGTTTGACTGCATGTTAGATATATGGTCTACAAAGTTAAGAGAAGAGATCATCGCCCTTCACAAACAAGGAACCAGGTTGAATAATTTTAAAGCATTCGTTGTGTTGAGCTTTTTTGCTTTTATTTGATTTCTTTATTGTAAACAGCTAAAACTGTACATTTTGTCAATAAACCTTTTAATGGGGTTGAATAATTTTGATTGCAACTGTATGTGTGTGTGTGTATGTGTTTGTATACTGTGTGTGTGTATATATATATATATATATATATACATACAGTATCTCACAAAAGTGAGTACACCGATCACATTTTTGTAAATATTTTACATCTTTTCATGTGACAACACTGAAGAAATTCACTCTGCTACAATGTAAAGTAGTTAAGTGTACAGCCTGTATAACAGTGTAAATTTGCTGTCCCCTCAAAATAACTCAACACACAGCCATTAATGTCTAAATCATTGGCAACAAAAGTAAGTACAGCCCTAAGTGGAAATGTGGAAATATCCCAAAGTGTCAATATTTTGTGTGGCCACCATTATTTTCCAGCACTGCCTTAACCCTCATGGGCATGGAGTTCACCAGAGCTTCACAGGTTGCCACTGGAGTCCTCTTCCACTCCTCCATGACAACATCACAGAGCTGGTGGATGTTAGAGACCTTGCGCTCCCCCACCTTCCGTTTGAGGATGTCCCACAGATGCTCAATAGGGTTTAGGTCTGGAGACATGCTTGGCCAGTCCATCACATTTACCTTCAGCTTCTTTAGCAAGGCAGTGGTCGTCTTGGAGGTGTGTTTGGGGTCGTTGTCATGTTGGAATACTGGCCTGCAGCCCAGTCTCCAAAAGGAGGGGATCATGCTCTGCTTCAGTATGTCACAGTACATGTTGGCATTCATGGTTGCCTCAATGAACTGTAGCTTCCCAATGCCGGCAGTACTCAGGCTGGCCCAGACCATGACACTCCCACCACCATGCTTGACTGTAGGCAAGAGACACTTGCCGCTACACACGCTTGACTCCATCTGAACCAAATAAGTATCTTGGTCTCATCGGACCACAGAACATGGTTCCAGTAATCCATGACCTTAGTCTGCTTGTCTTCAGCAAACTGTTTGCAGGCTTTTTTGTGCATCATCTTTAGAAGAGGCTTTCTTCTGGGACGGCAGCCATGTAGACCAATTTGATGCTGTGTGCGGCGTATGGTCTGAGCACTGACAGACAATGCTGGCTGAACTCATACGTCTATTTCCCAAAGACAACCTCTGGATATGACGCTGAGCATGTGCACTCAACTTCTTTGGTCGACCATGGTGAGGCCTGTTCTGAGTGGAACCTATACTGTGAAACCGCTGTATGGTCTTGCCCACCTTGCTGCAGCTCAGTTTCAGGGTCTTGGCAATCTTCTTATAGCCTATGCCATTTTTATGTAGAGCAACACTTCTTTTTTCAGATCCTTAGAGAGTTCTTTGCCACGAGGTGTCATGTTGAATTTCCAGTGACCAGTATGAGAGAGTGTGAGAGTGATAACACCAAATTTAACACACCTGCTCCCCATTCACACCCGAGACCTTGTAACACCGTGTCACATGACACCGGAGAGGGAAAATTGCTAATTGGGCCCAATTTGGACATTTCCACTTAGGGTTGTACTTACTTTTGTTGCCGACGGTATAGACATTAAAGGCTGTGTGTTGAGTTATTTTGAGGGGACAGCAAATTTACACTGTTCTACAGGCTGTTCTACAGGCTGTTCACCTACTGCTTTACATTATGGCAGAGTGTAATTTCTTCAGTGTTATCACATGAAAAGATATAATAAAATATTTACAAAAATGTGAGTGGTGTACTCACTTTTGTGAGATACTGTATGTATGTATATATATCAAGATGAGAGCATTTGATAAAGACCCAGGAAAGGAGTCAAAAAGCTGTTGTTATTCATTTGAAATATATATTGATGAAATTCCAGACAGTGCTGTCGCCTTGGTCCTTTGCTATACACAGTGCTGGGAATCACCTGGGTGGTCTATATTATTTTTATGTTTTTTTTATCGTTTAATATAAAGCTGTACTTTACAATAGATCAAAAGAAATGTATTCTGCCTACGGTGTTGGATAAATGTCATCCACGTGTTTTAGCAAAGCATGAAGAATTGCTCTACGAAAGTGTGAGTTAGCAGCTCTGGACAAACATAATCTGCATTTATATTCAGAGAAATGAGATCTGTAATGGAAATACACATAGCTGGAGAGTCCAAATACTGCGTTCTTCAGAAGCACCTGGGGTGCATGCATTGACTCTGCAGCAGGATGTGTCGTGTTAAACATGGCATAGTGCATATGTCAATATTTATGTTCTTTGAAAATATTAAGTTGAACGAAAGGTATACTTTTAAGTTATTTCATAGGTTATATTCTTGCTGCACTTAGCTCTTCACTGCTATTTTCTAATGCTAATATTATATTATGAAAGAAAATATATTCCATTTTATATATTTTTGTGTAACTGTTGGAGGGTTATTTTTTTTTCTGTCTTTTATTCTTTTTTGGTTGTTGTTTCATATATGCATCTCATCAGCATCGGTCACTCAACTCCTATATTTCCTCAGCAAGTGTGACAGAATTTTTGCTGGAGAATAACACAGCAACTACAGACTGCGAGCTGTAGTTCCTGTGACAGAAGCTGGAGAAACCTCTGTTTTCACATGTTACACACCTGTTGGCAAAGACCTCTATTAATTGATTGACAGGCGCTATTTGTATAATGATTTGCATTATCTATACATTTAGCAATTCTTTAAGCCCATTGAATAGATGATTTTGTATATTGTAACGGACCGTTTTGCACACAAGGGGTAAAAAACGTTTAGGCGATTGTCCCCTTTTCCAGAGATGCAGGCACAGCTACTGTAGACACCAATCCGCCGAACAGGAAACCACATGAATGCTGTAAACAGCCAAATAGGAAAAACCATACGAATAGGTTTACACTCCTAGCAGTCAAACTGGAACAGCATACAATAAATCCCCCCAAGAACGAGACAAAGCTCCGTGTTGAGGGTCAAGTAGGAACAGACAGAGCTGTGGGTT